TCCAGTGAAATATATTTATGTTTGTGGTTGTAATGTGACAAAATATGGAAAAGTTCAAGGGGTATGAATACTTTTGCAAACCACTGTATGTCTTCATGAAGATGAACACCATAGAACCTCTGCTTGTTAAAGTATAATGAGATTATGTGATCACATTATGATAAATGTTTGTTGTGGAAATATTTATTTAACAAAGACAGAAATACGTGGTCCAAGAATAAAGGTACTCTGTTGATCGTCTGAGTTTATTGCAGCTGTAAGACACACATCATGTCACACAGGGCAGTGGTACATAAAATGTGTGTACTGAGGCAGTCTCAGATACACTCATTTATACTGCATGTTATCCAAAACAGACAATAACACCTGTCTTGATGCTGATGCTGGTTGAAGGAGAGCAGGATGTTTGATAAACTATCAGCTGATTACTTCTAACAGATGTTGTCCTGATCTTAAAACACTGTGTCTGAGAGAAAACAGAGATAAACAGTTAGGTCATAAACTCTGCTGAAGTTTAGGTCACTGACTCTTGGCCTGAGAAGAATCTGGGAGGAGATGTATACATTATTTTACTAAGATTAAAACTAATGTTGGCACTACTTTTTGTGGCCTAGTGGACTCCAACGAGACGTTGTATGGAGGGGACCCTAAGTTTCTGTCAGAGATCAACAAGCTGTGTGAGACGCTGATTGGACAAATCCTGGACCATCTGAAGACGCTCACTCGGGACGAGGTCAGGTTGCTTCCATGGTTCCAGTGGTTTTGTCTTGTTGCTTGTCCTGTTCTGTGCAAAGGTTTCAGACTACTTCATGAGAAATTATTGACCGTCTTACTAGGGCTGCAACGATACAGAAAATTCACCATTCAGTTCGATACTTTAGTCTCACGGTTCGATATTTTTTTCATACAAAAAAGATAAATGTCCATGCCCCTTTTAACTTGTAATTTATTAAAATTAATTATGAGCATTTGTCTAACCTCAAAAGTACAGTTTTTAAATTAAATGTTGTTGAAACAGCAAGTTTCTCAGTGGGTCTGGGCTCCACAATACAGCCTAGGTGGAGT